ACCTTACTGCCAAGGCCCTGCCATTGCAGGGCGCAGGTGCAATGGCTCGGCATCGGAAGGAAATGGAGGAGAGCCATCCCCAGGGAGGGGGAGAAAAGGCCCCCCACCTACGCCACTGCGAGTCCAGCCTGGCTCTGCCCGGCCCTCCAGCTCTGGAGGGAGGGAGAGGAGGAGGGGCGCATGCAAAGAGGACGGGTGGGAGGGAGAGGGAGGAAGGAAAAGAACCGAAACTCTGATCATGATACCCCTTCCTGGGCGGACGCCGGCATCGCCGTGATGGTCGAACTGGGAGGTCTGCCGTTCAGGCACACCCGAAAAGCAGAGGAGACAGAGTGGAGAGGCTCGATCCCTCAGGGTCGGTGCCCGTTGACTCAGCAGGGGGAGGCACGCGACCCCGGAGCCTCGGAGGTGCACGGAAGGGGGGGGGCTCACGAAAAATACCGAGACGTTCTCGGTGACCTTTTGGAGGCTGCCGGAGGTCACCGGCCAAAGACCTATCAGCCCGAACCGAAGCAGACAAAAGAGGACATACAAAAAAACACCCGCGCGCGGGTACAACATAAACAGACTGTTTTTGTTGTACCCCGACTGACTATCTACCAGACCAACCCAACCCAACCCGAAGACCCGAATTTCGGGTTGGGGGGGTAAGGGTTCCACATGTGTTTTCTCGATGTTTCCCGAACCTCCCCCCACTGGAAATCGAAGGTAAATCTGAGCCTTCGGGTTGGGTTGGGGTGGTTTGGTGGGTGGTGACCGACAGCCGCCCTCCGTGCCAGTCCATGGGGCGGTGTGGCGAGAGCCGCCGCCAGCACAGACGATGGCACAAACCGCACGCAGTGTGAGGGGGGGGAAGGGTCCTCGGCCCGGCCCAGCCCGATCCATTCCGGCCAAGTCCCACAGGAACCAGGAGGAGGGATGGGCGGGAGGGAGAGGGAGAGGAAAGAGGGCGGAACTGTGATCAAGGAAAGATCTCCTACTTCGGCCACCAATGGGCTCAACAGTTTCAACTCCGTTCGCCCAGTGGCCGAGGAAGTCCCTACGTTTAGCCACCAATGGCTGAACAGTTTTAACGCCGTCCCTGGGCGTCACGATCATGACGCCCATCGGCAAACGTCGGGCAGCATGTGTGGTTTCCTCCATTCATGCTGACCAGAGGGTCAGAAGAAGCAGAGCAGACGAAATTATCTCCTACCGAGAGGCCGTGCCTGACGCCTCCCGGTCCGCTTCCTACCCCGACAGGCTGGTATCCCCCGACAAGCACAATGGACGCGCGCCGCCCGCAAGCTGTCCTGCGGGGGGAGGCGGAGAGAGGGAAAAGCGACAGGGGGAAGGCCGGAGGAGGAGGAGGCGCCCAAGGGGGAGAGAAAGAGAGAGAGAGAGAAAGAGAGAGAGAGAGAGAGAGACAAACAAAAACGGGGGGGGGCTGGTGGCGGGGGGGGGAGAGAGGAAAGCCCAAGCTTTCCCCAGCGGCCGTCATGGCATACCCGCCCGACATGAGTCCCCAGAGCAAGAGGACGCCGGAGGCATCCTGGGGGCAGCTGTGGAAGCAGACCGCTGGGACGGCTGGATGTTCCAATGGGGGCGGGGCTTGCCCGCCATCCCGATCCAGCCCTACTCGGCCCAGCCTGCCCGCCAGCCCTTCGAGGACCAGGAGGGAAGGAGGGAGAGTGGGAGGGAGGAAGAAAGGCAGGGGAGAAGGAGGGCCCAGCCCGACCCAGCCTGGCCCAGCCCGCAGGCGGCCCCAGCATCGAATCGATAAGCCGGATCGGGTCGACCGAGGCATCGAATCGGCAGGAATCGGCAGAAATCGGCTGCCAAGTCGAAATCGGCAGGAGTCGGCAGGGCCGAGTCGGATCGAGTCGGAAACCGGATCCCGTCAAGCCGGATCGAAATCGAAATCGGAAGGCTGGGAGGGAAGACGTCGTCGCACGTTATCGCACGTCGTCGCGAACGTCGTCGCATGCATTTTCGTCGCTCTCCGTCGCACGTCATCGTAAACGTCGCACGCGCGTCGTTGCAAAGGGCCCCAAGGGACTTCCAGCGGACCGTGGCATGGACCCCCCCGGTCTGTGGGACAGACCCCCCCGTCTGTGGGACAGACCCCCCCCCGTCTGTGGGACAGACCCCCCCCGTCTGTGGGACAGACCCCCACGTCTGTGGACCGACCCCCACGTCTGTGGGACAGACCCCCCCGTCTGTGGACAGACCCCCCCCGTCTGTGGACAGACCCCTACGTCTGTGGACAGACCCCTACGTCTGTGGGACAGACCCCCCCCCGTCTGTGGGACAGACCCCCCCGTCTGTGACAGACCCCTACGTCTGTGACAGACCCCTACGTCTGTGGGGCAGACCCCCCCCGTCTGTGGGACAGACCCCCCCCCGTCTGTGGGGCAGACCCCCCCCCCCCGTCTGTGGGGCGCAGACCCCCCCCCCGTCTGTGGGACAGACCCCCCGAGGACCCAGGACTCCCCCCCCCCCCGGTCTGTGGGACCGACCCCCGGACCGTGGGACGGACCTCCTCCCCCCTGCCCCTCCTCCTCCTCCTCCTCCTCCTCCTCCTCCTCCTCCTCCTCCTCCTCCTCCTCCTCCTCCTCCTCCCCCTCCTTCCCCTCCTCCTCCTCCGCCTTTTCTAAACCATCCAAGAGCCGGAGCGAAGCCGGATCGGCAGGAAATCGGCAGAAGTCGGCAGAAGCATCGAATCGGCAGGAGTCGGATCGGGCGAACTCGAAATCGGAATCGCGAATCGGAATGTTCGCATCGAGTCGGATCGAGTCGGAACCCTGGGAAATCGTTTCGAATCGGCTCGGAGGAGTCGGAAAGCGCCCTGGCCCGTCCCAGCCCTCCTCGACCCCGCAGGGATCGAGAAGGGGGAGGGAGGGAGGGAGGGAGGGACGGAGGAAGAGGAGGAGAAGGACGAGGAGGAGGAGGAGGAGGAGGAGGGAGGAGGAGAGAGGAGGAGGAGGAGGAGGAGGAGGAGGAGGAGAGAGGGGACGGAGGGACGGAGAAGGAGGATGGGAGAAGGGAAGAGGGACGAAGGAGAGGACGAGGAGGAGGAGGAGGTGGGAGGGAGGAGGAGGAGGAGGAGGGAGGAGGAGGAGGAGGAGAGGAGGAGGAGGGGACGGAGGCCGCACTCTCCGGCGCCGCGCGGGCCGCAGGCCCAGCGGGGGCGTCCGCTCTCGGCCGACGACCGCGGGCGCAGGCCGGCGGGGGGGGGGGGGCCGCGCGGCGCTCTCGGCTCCGCCATCGGCGCGCTCGGGCAGGCGAGCGGCCACGCTGCCTCGCCCGAGCTAGCCAGCCTTGAGCCTCCTCCTCCCTCCTTTTTTCCTCCTCCTTTTCTTCCTCCTCTCCTCCCTCCCCCCCTCTCCTCCCTCCCCCTCCCTCCCTCCTCCTGCCTCCTCCCTCCCTCCCTCCCTCCCTCCCTCCCTCCCTCCTCTCCCTCCCTCCCCTCCCTCCCCTCCCTCCCTCCCTCCCTCCCCCCCCTCCCCTCCTCTCCCTCCCTCCTCCCTCCCTCCCTCCCTCCCTCCCCTCCCTCCCTCCTCCTCCTCCTCCCTCCCTCCTCCTCCTCCTCCTCCTCCTCCTCCCTCCTCCTCCTCCTCCTCCTCCTCCTCCTCCTCCTCCTCCTCCTCCTCTCAGAGGGATGCAGGAAAATGGCCCCACAGCGGTTTCCAAGAGGCCCCCGAGCTGCCACCGTGGGCCCCGCAGGGTGCACGAGAAGTGCACGCTCCCGGCCCCCTCACGTTCCTTGAGCGGCCACGCTGCCTCCCCAAGATTAACAAAATGAACGTGTTCTGATTCGGCGATTCGGCATTGGGCGGAAGGGGAGAGATTGGGCGTGGCTTAATGGGGGGGTCACAAATGGGGGGGTCAAAAAAGGTCCCCTTTCGTGCCCCTTTCGGGCCCCTCCGGAGCCCCAGGGGGCTCGTTTAGGTACCGTTTGGGTACCTTTTCGGACCACGCTCGCCACCCCCCCATTTATGACCCCCCCATTACGCAGCGCCCAAAGAGAGGGGGAGGGCCTGGCTCCGGACCTCTGCTGAACGCGACGGATTGCATCAGGGCATCCAGTATGGGGGAGACTCCACATGCTCAAAACAGGCGCCACCACAAACAGACCCCCCCCCCGAAAAGAAAGTCGCCAAAACCTACTCCATGGTGGGGGGGAGAGGGGTCGAGGGCCCGCTGACGCGAATCGTGACGTCACCAGCCCCGCCCCCGCCTCCCCTCCCCCAGAAAGCCATCCCCGCATCCAACACGAGCGGGGGTCGAGCCCTGGAAGAGACGTTTAAGACACGACTCCAGGGAGGTCGTCTTGAGAACGATCAGGGGCTACTATGCCCGATTAGCGAGCCAGTACGCCAAATCGGGCTGGATTAAGTCGGGAATCAAGCTGGACTAAGCCGGAGTTGGCGGGATTTATTGTTAACCAGATAAGCTGAATTCAGCAAGAGCGTGTCGGTTCTCGACCACGGACATACCAACGCCGATCATGTTACCTCCAGGAGTGGCACCCGAACTGGACGATGGGGGGCCATGGATCAGAAGCTTGTCCTGCAAGCGAAGGGATGTTCTGGAAGAGGATGGGCCCTGGAAGTCCCCCTTAATGTTCGACGCCCCTGTGACCCTCTGCGGGCCCACGGGGCCGTCAACAGCACGGCTCGGGAGGATCCGCTGGTCCTAGGAAAGGCCCCAACGGTCTACAGTGGGAGCCCAGCCACAAGAAACCTTCCCAAAGAAACCCAACCCTAAGACCCCAGGGCGTCCACTGATTTTTTGGTCTGGGTACGTCACGCGTGCCATCGCAAAACTATCGAAACCCAAGAAACCCAGGGCACCTTGAAGGCAAGCAGGGTGGTTCTTGGCATGGGTCTCCACTGTAGGACAGTAAATGAGGAAGGTGAGGAAGAAAGAGGGTCTGATGCAGGCGCGAGGCAGGGGTAAGGAAAGCGGAATGGGCTGTGACTAGAAAGGGCGGAGGGAGGAGAGAGGGAGGACATGAGGGAGGACAGGCGAAGAAGAGAGGACGAGAAGAAAGACGAAGGCAGGGAGTGGAGAGACAGATCACCACGCTGATCAGCGTGGCTCGCGAAGGGTGTTTCTGAACGCGCTGCGCGGTGCAATCCAGGAACAGATGACCGACACTGAGCACTAATTAGACTGACATGCTCATACACATGGGAATGAATGTTCTGCATCGTCCCAAGACGGCAGCGCCCGCAGAACGCAATCGGTTATATCACGACGCTGCTGGAATAGACAACGCGGTTGCCCAACACAACACAGCGAATAAGCACAAGCACGCCCACCGCTTACCGATCTCAGCGTTGCCCTCTGGTATCACGGCGTCGCGGAGGATGGTGGTAACTATGCTGAGGCGCACCGATACAAAGAGGTAGCCCGCCGACAAGACGATGAAGTTGAGCCAGTAGTGGCCAGGGATCAGGACCAACAGACTCTTCGGCGAGCCGTTGATCCCGGTGGTCTTCATCCACACGTGGAACTGCAGTATGTAAGTCTCCAGCGTATCCACCAGCGTGCCCTCTGCAGCAGTTCTGGTGTGTTCTCGCCATCGCTCGGACGTCCATTCCCTGTGCTTGTTTCGGTTTCGTGCGTCTTTTTTCGCCAATTGATCAAGGATGCTCCTCGATGGTTCTCGCCGAAGGAAAATGTACACGTCCGAGCGATGCCAAGTGTTAGGGTATCTCAATAGATTGGCTCCCTGGTAGAGTTTCTGCATTTATCAGTTGCCACCCCACTCATAACATGAATGCAGGACCTGCGCGGGCGCGGTGGCGGGGTTTGCCGCAAGCTGCTGGATACTTGCCCAAATAGGCGAAGAGCCGCATGTACCGACTGCGCAATGGTGCGCTGATATTGCGGACCAACATGTACGCTGTTATTGGAATCCACGATGTGTACGGGTGTATTGCGTTGTACTCGTACTTCCCCTTGGAAAACACTAACAAAAACCAAGCACCCATGGCCAAGAAACATGCCGCCAACAGCGCGGCGTTCCACGCCGCACGATGCAACGGTTTCTTCTGCTCCAATGCCTCCAGGTAAGCCTCGAAGTCGGGAAAATGCAACGCGTAAAGCATACCGAGTACCCAGATGAAGCGGTCCAGCCCAGAGCGAAAATGAAACTCGTGCATCTCGTCTGTGAACTCTGGGTGCACAGGATCGTGGAACGCGAAGAGTGGGCGGACGACAGGCAAGGTCCCAAACACTGCTTTGAATATGAAGGGGGGGCCGTCGTAGATTACGACAACCCCCAAGAATGTCAGAACTATCTTGGCGTGCACCCACGCCCTGGACCCGTTCAACGAGTGCCGAATGTAGAGCGCCAGTATTACGAAGACAGTGAAGAGAGTGTGCATCGCACAGATGTAATCCGACAAATCACTCTGAAGCCGTGAGAATCGAGCGGGCCCCTCACTCTTCTAGGACCCTCTATTGAGGCATGTGTAGCATGAGCGACCCCCTGACCACACGAGAAAAGGAGTCCCGTCTTGATATCCCCGATTCGAACACGCCGGTCAGAAGAAGTAGGTGAAAGCAGTAAATCCGTAGACATCAGCAAACTAGTAGGTCTCCATCGAGAAATCGGTTCCCAAATCGGAATCCGATGCTGAATCGGATCGGACTCGGAATCCATCGAGATCGAATCGGAGCGAATCGGAGGAATCGAAATGAGCCCTGTTTGCATGCACATTTGGGCTTCCTCCCTGGTCGCCGACCGTTTTTTTTCACCCCAGACCAACCCGAAGACCTGAACTTGACTCGAATTTCGGGTTGGGGGGGTATGGGTTCAATGTGTTTTTCAATGTTCCCCGACCCCCCCCCCAGTGGAAATGGAGGGCAAGCTGAGGCCTTCGGGTTGGGTTGGGGTGGCTTGGTGGGTGGTGAGAGTAGGAACCCCTGGTGAGCGTGTTTTCTTATTCGGCGTTTCGACACTGGGACACCGGGAGGAAGGGGAGGGGAAAGGGGGGGGTCTGGCTCCAGGAGGGGGAGGGGTCTGGCCCCAGGAAGCGTGGCTTGGTGGGCGGTGGGCCCCTCTGCTCCCCGGGCCCTCTGCCCCCCGGGGGCGCCGCCCGCGGCCGCTCCCGGGGGGCGCCAGGGGGGCCTCTCTTCGGGGGCAGCCCACGGGGCGCCCCCCCCTGTCGTGCCAGCCTGTCGGCTCCTCTGCGCCTCGACGCCGCTCGGCGCTGCGCATCGGCGCTCCTCGGGGCAGAAAACTACGCGCGAGCTCGACCCGGCTCGGCTCGGAGGCATCGAGAGCTGAGCCCCCCCCCCTGGCCGTGGCCGCACGTGGGCGTCTCGAGAGGGCGCCCTGCTTCGGGGGCGCGCGGACATGGACTCGCGATCCATATGGATCCGGCGCGCGGGCGCCCAATCCCACGCATCGAGGAGGCGCCCTCCCCAGAACGCGGCCGGTGCCGCCTCGCTCGGCGGCGGAAGTCCGCGATGTCCCATGGAAACGGGACCGGTCGCTGATCCACGCCCCCTGAACCGATGTTTGCGATCGCCTGACCGTGGGCCTTCCCGTGGGCTTCCTGGGGCTTTTGTGGCCTTCCGCGGTCTCCCCCAGAACTGGAGAACCTTCTCCGAAACTTCTAGCCGGAGTGCAGTATCCCCAAACAGAGTTTTTAAACCCACTGCGGTTTCCAAAGTCGATTGCGTGCCCAGCCAGTGCGGGCTGGCATAGACCACCTCGCGCGCGGCATCTCGGACCCCAGAGTTGCGACGATGTCTCGGGCGAAAAGTGCTGCGAGGAAGTCTCAGGCGAAACGGACCGGACCACCTCCAGCGCGGCGTCTCAGAGCTCCGAGTTGCGGGGGCCTCCTGGGGCCTCCTGGGGCCTCCTGGGGACCTCCTGGGGCTTCCTCCTGGGCCTCCTGTGGCCTCCTGGACCCCACCTGAAGTTTCCTGAAGCCTCTTGGGGCTCCCAGGGGGGGATATCTAACATGTGGCCGTCTGGGCCCTCCAACTTGGGGGGGCCCAAGAGCAAGAAAAATCAACGAATCGGCACCGGATGTGTATTGACTTGACACGTTCTGATAGGGGGCCTCCTGGGGCCTCCTGGGAGCCTCCTGCAAATCTCCTGGTAAGACGAAGCCGGGATCGGGGCAAAGTTTGACCGGGATAAAAATCATGCTCGGTTTTTCAAATCACCGGGGGCGCCGCCGAACGGGCCTGCCACGCCTTGGGCGCCATCGGCTTCGCGAGGGAAGAAATGCGCCCCGGCGCAGATCGGGCAACGGCGCGTATTTGGCCACGCGCGCGCCCGAGGGAATCCAGCGCCAAGCGCATTTCAATCCAGAAGACCCGACGTCAGCAAAACAAACTTGAGGCCCCAAGGGGGCCCCAAAGAGGCGGACCGCCAAAACAATCACGCAACCAACGCAACGAAAAACACGTGCAAATGCCCAAAAGCGCAGTACTCAGTGACCTCTTCGGCCACGCAACACCGCGAGAATGCCCGAGAAGGCATTGGAAAAAAAGCCCGCGCGCGGCCTGGCGACTTCCCCGCGCCGCCCCCAGGTTCCCGAAGCGCGCCGAAATAACCGTAAAGAAGACCCCGGAAAGTCTTTGGAAGGCCCCCGCACCATGCAATCAATATCCGCCACCGAATAATCTCGCGGACACCTAGCGCACGCGCGGGCGTCCACCATGGATGCCCAACTCCGGTTTCGGAGACAATCGCGCGCAACCGCCCGGGGGCTTCGGCAACCTCGCGATTGGCCCAGGGGCCCGCGGGCCCCAGGGAATCGAGGACCGGGTTCGCGACTCCGGAAGCATCGGGCGCGGCGCCAGCCAGTCGCTCGTCTCTGGCTGACAGTGGGACGCCTGGAGACCCGGTAAAACCTGAGGAACCGCTTTTCAGAGATTCACAGAACCAGAAAACGGGGCGCGCCAAATTCTCGCGTCCGAACTTCTCTGAGAATCTCTGAAAATCTCTGAACTAGACACCCCGCGTGAAACATTCCCATAAACCCAAAATCTCGGAGCTGGACGAAACTCTCTGAGAGTTTTTCGGCCCGCGAAATTTGGCGCGCCCGGATTTCCCGTTCCGAGATTCTCTGAAATCGGCCTGCGGCGGCGCCCAGCAGGTCCTCACGCGCCGAGGGTGGGGGCCGTGGACATCGCAGGCCGCGACGGTCCCGACCACGAGGTCCTTCCTCCTGCCCCTCGACGAGTCCACGCTCATGGACACGCTCTCTGCGCTGAGCGTGGACCGCGCCATCCGCCGGTACTTCTGCGCGACGACAGCCAACTGGCCGCCGACAGACGAGGCGATTCTTTTCCGAGCTGCGCGTGCCACCGAAAACGTGCAATAGCCCCGGGCTCGGGGAGAAACACTTTCGAAGCATTTTCAGGCCGCCAGCGTCGTGGCCGCCGACCCGCCGCGCGCCGACCGCGAGACTAGCTGGACCCACTACGTCCACGGCGGGCGGGCGGGCGCCCAAGAGAGCTGTCGCGACGGTGCGCGCGGCGGGGCGCCCGCCCCACTGCAACCGCACATGCGGCCTCCATGGCGCCACAGGCGTAATATGTGCGACGCACTCTCGGGCCCCCCATCAACGCATCGGCCAGCGCCCAAGCCCCTGAAACGCAAACCTACTGCGCCCCCCGTGCAAGCCGCGCACCCGCTCCCAATGCTCGTGCACACCAGCTTTTCTGCCCGCCCGCAACAGTTTAATTGAGCGCCCATGCGTTACTTGGGCTCCTCAAGCCCCCGAAAAGTCCTTGGGAAACTTCTGCGAATGCGCGCGCTGCGCTCCACAATTCGGCGTTCTATTTTTCTTTGGAACTCTCCCAGAATCTCTGGTTCCGATTTGTCCCGATCTTCCGCTCAACTGACCTGGGGGGCCCTGGGGCCTGTCCTGGGCGTCCTGCGGCCTCCTGAAGCTCTCTGGGGCCTCCTGGGGCTCCCAGGGGGGATATGTAACATGAGGTCTTCTGGGCCCCCAGGCTGGACCACTTCTTGCGCGGCATAGCTCAGAGTTGCGAGAATGTCTTGTGCGAAACGGGCCGGACCACCTTGCGCACGGCATCTCAGAGCTCAGAATGCGAGGATGTCTCAGGCGAGACGTGCCGGACCACCTCGCGCAGGGCATCTCAAAGCTCAGAGTTGCGAGGATGTCTGAAGCGAAACGGGCTGGACCACGTCGCGCGCAGCATCTCCGAGGTCAGACTTGCGAGGATGTCTCAAGCGAAATGGGCTTGACCACCTCTTGCGCGGCAGCTCAGAGCTCAGAATTTCAAGGATGTCTCAGGCGAAATGAGCCGGACCACCTCTCGCGGGGCATCTCAGAGCTCACAGTTTCGAGGACGTCTCAGACAAAACGGGCCAGACACCTCTCGACGGGCATCTCGGAATGCAAAAAGTGCGAGGATGCCTCAAGTGAAGCGGGCCGGATCACCTCTGGGTCGGCATCTCGGGGCTCAGAGTTCGGAGGATGTCTCAAGCGCAACGGGCCAGACCACCGTTCGCGCGGCATCAGAGAGCGCAGTCGCGAGGATGTCTCAGGCCAAACGGCCCGGACCACCTCGCGCACGGCATATCAGGGCTCAGAGGTTGGAGGATGTCTCACGCGAAACGGGCCGGACCACCTCTTGCGCGGCATCTGCGAGGTCAGAGTTGCGAGATGTCTCAGGCGAAATGGGCTGGACTACCTCTTGCGCGGCATCTCCGAGGTCAGACTTGCGAGGATGTCTCAGGCGAAACGCGCCGGACCACCTCGCGCACGGCATCTCAGAGCTCAGAGTTTGGAAAATGTCTCAGGCGAAACGGGCCGGACCACCTCTTGCGCCGCATCTGGGAGCTCAGAGTTTGGAGGATGTCTCACGCGAAACGCCCAATCCCGGACAACTCAGAAAACGAGAGTTGCGAGGATGTCCCAGGCGAAACGTCCCGGACCACCAAATGTGTTGAGAACGTCTCTGCATCGAATTCTCTCGGCCGGAGTTAGCTTCTATCACAACAGCACCCCGTTCAGCAAGCTGTTTGGGGAAAAAGACGCACCCAACATGGCCAAAAAAGCACTAGGGTTCGGTGGCAACCCGTGGGAGCCTCACGTGCCATCTTGTCGGCTCTTGCGAATCGACGCTATTCGACGCTGAATAGATGCTGATCGAGGTTACATCCACGCTACATCGGTGTTGTCTCATCGACTCATCGACGTTAATCGACGCGGATCGACGCTAAAGACAGAATGAACAGGGTTCAAGGCATACCAGTACTAGATGTTCTCCTTGGAGGCGCGCGTCCGACCCGAACTCATAGTATACCCATCTTGTGGTAGATCGTGTCCTGGACGGTGTGACCAGAAAGTGCCCGCCACGGCACACATACTAGAAGAATTCTCGGTGCGCGCGTCGCCCCTGGGGTGGCGACGCAC